GCACCTCCTTCGGTTGACGCACCTCTGTATGAGGACGCCTTGTCGCTGGTACAGACTCGTCGCCAGGTTTCGCTGGCTCAGTCACCACTAACGGAGGCATGTAGGAGAGTCCTCCGTAGCGTACCAGTCGAGCCAGGGGAGCTGTTTAGGTCAGCTGCCCTGGAGGCACTGGAGCGTGCCGCCCAAGATAGACAGACCAGGCAGCAGCTCTCGGGTCTTCGCAGACCTGTGCCCACTCCCAGCAGGCCCAGGGGCCGCTCTAGCAGCCGCCGGATTACAGGGGTGGTCTGCAGAGGTCTTAGCGGCGCGACCCAATGACTTTCGTGCCCCAGGTCGCCCGCCTTCCAGGCGGCCTCGTGCCCCAGAGCCTTACCGGCGCCCCCCAAGAGGCTCCAGGGGCCGGGGGGCTGGGCCCTGAAATCCCGGGGGCGGTCGTCGGCTGCTTTCCCAGCAGCAGCTCAGTTACTGGGCGGTCTGTACTTCCGTCCCTTGGGTGGTTTTCACCTTAACCCAGGGGTACGGACCACAGCTCCGGCCCCTAGCCTTCGGCTGGGTCTAATTGACAGTCGTCAGCGATCCGGCAGGGGCCCTAGCTCTGGCCCAAGAGTTGGTCGTCCTTCTGTCCAAGGACGCAATCAAGCCAGTAAGACCCTCTGCTTAGCCCAGGGGGTTCTACTCGGCGTACTTTCTCGTGAGCAAGAAAGTTGGCGGATTTCGCCCGATCTTGGACCTCAGAGGAATCGACAGATTCCCGAAGGTGCTGCCATTCTATATGCTGACCACTGGACTTGAGGGATGCCTACTTCCACGTGGGCCGGGCAAGATGGTGCCTTATATTCAGTTCCTCCGGCCCTTGGGCAGACTGGCAGCTGCCTCGGCCGCTGGGCCCTTAGGCCCGCTGTCGTTGCGCCCCATGCAGATGTGGCTGAACAGCCTTCACTTGGACGCCAAGTGGCACAGGCACAGGGAAGTCAAGGTGTTGCAGCATTGCCTCCACTCTCTGTCACGCTGGAGGGGCAGGGCCTATCTCCTAGTCGGTGTGCCCATGGGCGCCATCCCATCCCGCCAGGAGACCATCACCATAGGTGCATGTCTCTCAGGGTGGGGTGCAGTGCGGCAGGGCAGGACCATTCAGGGTCAGCGGTCTGCCCAGGAGAGTGCGCGCCAGGTCAACGTGCTAGAGCTTCGGGCTGTGCAGCTTGCACTCACGCACTTTCTACCCCAACTGGGGGGGCAAGAATGTGCGTGTTCCTTGGGGACAGCATGTACGTTGTTGCTTAGACAACAGTCCCTTCTAGATAGTGGACGTTCTCACTCCACTCTGAATTTATGTGGCTGCGATTTCTGCCCGACATGTTCGGGTCGACGGCACCACGGCGGGGTGCCACAGGTCGGTGTCCCTCTTTATGAGAGAGGCTTTACGGCAGCGTCCCCCTAGTACCCCGAGGGCTCCGGCTTGGGACCTGCCCCTGCTGCCGGATGCCCGATCATCTCTCCCTTCGAGCCCCTGGCCCAGGTGGGGCTTAGGTGGCTGCCCACGAAGGCAGCATTTCTGCTTGCCATAGCCACATGGCGGCACTAAAGGAGGTTATGCCCTCTAACCAGTGGCTGCCCCACTGGGTTGTCGATACCATCTCACAGGCTTATGGGGCCAGTGGCCGCTCCCTGCCATCAGGCTGAGATGCCACTCTACAAGGAGCATCTCAACATCTTGGGCTGCCCTGAGGGTGGTGCCCCTGGAGACCATCTGCGCCGCGGCGTCGTGGGCGTCTTCTGGCACATTCTCCAGTTGTCATCAGGTCAATGTCGCCACTCCCCATTCTTTGGGCGTGGTCCTTTTGCTGAGCTCTGCTGTTTCCAGTGGTGAGCAAGGGCTTGGATTCTTCATGACATTGTTGGTATAAGTCATCCATTGCTTAAAGCAGAGGTTCTCAATTGTTTTTCAGCCAAGGACCCCTTACAAGATAGAGAATACACCAAGGACCCCCTCATTCTGATTTGTGATTTTGGGCTATATAAATAAAAATGTACTTGATTTGACTTGTATGTCCCTTGGAATAATCTGACGTAGCCTATTTTTTACACTTCTATAGTCTTAGTTATGTGAAAGAACAACACAAGAGAAATGTATTAGAAAGATATTAGATATGTATTAAAAATATTTGCACCATCTCAACACAGAATACCCATAAAACAATCAATCAATTAGCTGCAAGTAACACTGTACCTAAACAAAATATCACAGGGAAATCAAGAGAAAAGTGATCATTTGAAGTGCATTTCAGAACATACACACACACACACACACACACACACACACACACACACACACACATAAAGATAACACATCAAGTGTTTCACTCTTAGTTCAAATTAAATGATTTATAAAAGTCTAATCACAAAATAAATTGCAAAACAACTGCAACTGCATTGCTACAATCCCAAACCACTACTTGTAATGGCAGCCAGCTCTGGACACTATTGGAGTGATGCAAGGCAGTCCATGAAGCTGATTGCTTCTCTCTGCAAGTGAAGACACACATATCAAACTCAATCAATAAATGCAACATATCTGACATTTATGTTGCTCATACACACACACACACACACACACACACACACACACACACACACACACACACACACACACACACACAGGGGTGAAAGTGGGCCGGAACGATCCAGAACAGTGTTCCGGCACCTTCGATTGATAAGTAAATAAATCTGATTGGCAGTTTCATACATAATAATGTCAAGCGAGTTCACAGGGCTGCCAACTCTCACACAATTGACATTTTTCACACGCTCTCAGCCACAAGTCCATTTTCTCAAGCAGTGAAAAACAAATTCATAACTGATAATGTCATGGTGCGAAAAGAGGACACAACAGCAGCAACAGGCAGCAGACCATCTGAATAGCGAGAAATATACACAAATGTATTATATTGTAACTTATTCCCATGCATGTTGCTCAAAGTAATCAGTCTCACTTTGCGTCTATCCCTCTCCTCTCGCGCCATGCGCACCAGGCAGGAGTGAGAGTGAGTTACCATGGTTACGGGGACGCTCTGTGTCTCTGTCGCTCTGAAACTTCTCGCGATTCCCAATTAAACGTTTTTAGTAATATAACATAATTTTACAGTTTTGGTTAACATTATACAGGGTTAATGTTTATTGATTAAATCCAAAGAGGGCAAGGTGGTGTAGACATGTAGGAAATGTGTTTTAAAATTACAATTTGTTCACACACACACACACAGAGAGAGAGAGAGCGAGAGAGAGAGCTCTTACCATTAATGTGAGATATGGGCCTGTCTCTCGCTGCACAACTTCTCTATCCTTGGAGAAGTAGATGAGAGGCATACACGTATGGGGGTTATTCCCTATTTTTATTCAAGAGCGTGGTATTTAAATTTGAGAGCATACTTTATGTATTCATTTCCCTCAAACCCTGTCCTCGCACTCAAATAGTGCCTGCTTGCACTTAGATTTGCTCTGCTTGTGCTCAAACTGTACGCTTGCACTCAGATATATTGCTGCTTACAGATTTGTTCTGCTCTCAGATTTATTCTGTGCGCGCTCGAAACTTTTGTGCAACAATCCTGTCAAAATCCCTCAACCAATAGGAGGCCTGGTGTCCTTGCGGGTGCGTTCGCTTTACTTATTATAGCGTCCCGTAAGGGCGGTTACTCTTTGGTTTATAAACTCCAGCCCTCCACGGCTTTATAACATAGCATGTACTTCACTTGTTTGATTTACAACTTTTGGGGGGGGGGAGCACAGTTAGTATATATATATATATACCAGCACCTTACATAATAGCTACGTTCAGTGGCGTACTGGGACTAAAAATCAGCCCGGGAATCTCGACCGGCCCTCGTTATCGCTAGTAAATTGTCAACGGGGGGAGGGGGGATTGCTAGTGAATTTTCCGAACGGCCCACTTCTTCCTCCAGACTGTTGTTCTGCTCCAGCACTGTTGCGCTACGGCTTGGTTCGGCCCGACGCGAAGCGGAGTGTCGACAACCCCATATTGTATAGATATTCGTATATCACGGCCTGAAGTGAGCTATTGCATTTATAAAACGGTTACCGCCTGTGGCTGGCAATGTGAAAGAAAAATACACACTCCAATTTAAATAGTTTTTATTATTAAATAATGATGTTCAAAATAAAATAGTCCCTCCGTTGCCTTCTGCACAAAACATAGTGCAAGGTGGTTGCTATGCAACAACAATAACAGCTAGAGAACATATTAGACAGACAGCATTGTCGTTGTTTAGGTGCCTTTTTTTCTGGAGATAGGCACTTCTCAATCCACTCCTCCATAGTAAGGCCACCCCGGAGGTCGAAGTTAACCTTAAATGTTTCCATTTTAAGCTTTGTTAGTTAGTTAGTTTCGTGACGGACGTAATGTAACAGTTGTAACGGTTCTCAGACGCGGAGGGAGACTGACTTGTGAAAAGTAACTACAATTATACCCGGGATATACGCTCATTATATCACGGCTAAGAAACATCAGATTGCTTGATTTGACTCGTCCGTTTTATAAACATATACTAACTGTGCTTACCCCCCCTCCCCCAAAGTACATGAAGTACATGACATGTTATGTTATAAAGCCGTGGAGGGCGGGAGTTTATAAACCAAAGTGTAACCTTTTATAAACCAAAGAGTAACCGCCCTTACGGGACGCTGTAATAAGTAAAGCGAACGCACCCGCAAGGACACCAGGCCTCCTATTGGTTGAGGGATTTTGACAGGATTGTTGCACAAAAATTTCGAGCGCGCACAGAATAAATCTGAGAGCAGAAACAATCTGTAAACAGCAATATATCTGAGTGCAAGCATACAGTTTGAGCAGAAGCAGAGCAAATCTAAGTGCAAGCAGGCACTATTTGAGTGCGAGGACAGGGTTAGAGGGCAATAAATACATAAAATATGCTCTCAAATTTAAATACCACGCTCTTGAATAAAGATAGGGAATAACCCCCATATACACGTAGGTCGTTCTCCACTTCCATCCGAGCCCTGTACTTGGTCTTCATGGAGGTCAGCGCTGAGAATGATGACTCGCACAGGTATGTGGTTGGAAAGGGAAGCAACACCCGCATGGCAACAGCAGCGATTTCCGGATACTCCTGTTCAACCGAAGGCCAAAAGTCCACATGCCCCCGTTGGCCGAACCGGATTCTCAGCGTCCCGTCGCATGCCAGGTCCAGCAGCTCCTCCTCTGCTTTTCCACTGAGACCCCGCGCTGATGTATGGGCAACGAAGGGGTCGCGCACCCAGTCCCAGGCATCGGTGTCAACGTCAGTGAAATAGTCATTGAAATAGTCACCAAGGGAGGCAAGATACGAACCGATTGTATTTTTCACAATCTCAGCTGGTATTTGGTTTGTGTCCAAAAACTCTGTGAGTTGGGGGAACATGTCTGTAATGCCATTTTGCACCCGCCTTCTCCAGATCGCTGTTTTGGCACGGAATGCCTTGATTTTGTCGCTTACCTCCAGGATAGAGGCATATCTGCCTTGAACGGACAAACTGAGATCGTTCAATAAGTTGAACACATCTGCGAGGTAGGCGAGCTGTGCGATCCATTCGGGGTCCGAGAAGAGTGCTGCAGTGGTTGGCTTGTCATTCTGGATGAACTCACACAGCTCTGAGCGCAGTTCGTACACCCGCTGTAGCACTTTTCCACGGGAGAGCCAACGCACCTCTGAATGGAACAGCAGGGTGTCCTGTCCTGCGCCCATCTCCCTGCAGAGCTGGCCGAATAAACGGGACTGCAGTGGCTTACACTTGATGTGGTTGACCACAGATACCACCGTGCTGAGAACGGAGTGTAGCTCAGGACTCAATGATTTTGACGCCAGAGCCTGCCTGTGCAACATGCAGTGGGTAGCTATCATCATTGGATTGCGCTCCTTGGCACGAGCAACCACCCCACTCTTGCGTCCGGTCATGGCAGCTGCCCCATCTGTGCAAATCGCAATGCAATTCTCCCAACTCACATTGCCAGTCTCCATGAACATATCTATAACATTGAAAATCTCCTCACCTGTTGCTCGCCCCGTCAACTCTTGACAAAATAAAAAGTCTTCCTGAATCCTTCCTTCCCACGGGTATCGAACCAGCGCGATGAGCTGCGCAGAGCCGGACACATCAGTGGACTCATCCAATTGAACTGCGAATTTAGACTCTCTTAGTCTTTCCAGCAGTTGTGATTTGATATCAGCAGACATGTCCTCAATTCGTCGTCTGATGGTGTCATTTGACAGAGGTACACTTCTCAATTTGGCATCCGCATCTTTCCCCACCACCTTACCTCACACAGATCCACCGCAGCAGGGAGCAGCAGTTCCTCCGCTATTGTGTGGGGCTTTCGCGCCTTAGCAATCCTCTGCGCTACCAGGTAGGAGGCCCGCTGCGCTTTAGCAGAAACAGACGTAACATTAATCATCCGTTGTTGTTGCTGGCGGTAGTCCTCGCCCTTCCTCTCAAAAAAAGCCCGGTCTTTTTTTACATAATCTGGATGCTTGGTCTCGAGGTGCCTCTTCAATTTGGCAGGCTTCATCGCCTCATTGGCAAGACACCGCAGGCATATCAGACATTTCTGTTTCCCTTCCACTTCAATAAATCCATATTGGAGATACTCCTCATCGTATTTCCTTACTTTTGTTTTTTGTTTTCATTTACTTCATTTGTACCCGTAACCGGTCGTTTTAAAAATCTGTCCATCTTCGTAGTATGCTAGCCGTGTTATATCTCTATGATGCTTGCAGCGGCGCTCTCTGACTGACGTACCAGTTATTGTTGTTTCCACGGTAACGGGTGACGCACTTGATTTTTAAATGTATAGATTTGTTAGATTAGAACGTAATCTATGAACTATTTTAGATTAAAAAAATTAAATATTTGTTGAACTATGAAGCCTTTTGTAAAAAAAAAAAAAAATGGAAAAAAAATGATATGATAATTTAAATTAATGAATCTGAAAACTTTTCACGGACCCCCTGGCAGAGTGCCACGGACCCCCGGGGGGTCGCGGACCCCACTTTGAGAACCACTGGCTTAAAGCACCGCCTCTGGCGGTCAGTAGGGACGAAATAGAAAGATAGTTACGGCTGTAACTACGGTTCTATGAGTCCCGGATGACCGCCAGAGTTCCCTGTCACTCAGAATTCTTGTGTGCTCGCGAGAAGATTCTGGGAACAGATCCTCTGACGACACCGGCTGATATAGCCGGTGTCACGTGGGTCACAGGTGACTTTGTTGTTATTGGTACTCGAGCTGCGCATGCGCGCGATGGACATATCCACTGCTTAAAGCACCGCCTCTGGCGGTCATCCGGGACTCATAGAACCGTAGTTACAGCCGTAACTATCGTTTTTATTAAATCAAAAACCTGTTGAAATGCTTCTGTTATTTTTACTGTCCCCAAAAGCGCGTCGGCAGCCTCCAGAAATGCTTCTTTCACAACTTTGCCGTCTTTGAAAGAATTCATGTGTTTCGCAAGAACGTGACTGACACGATAAGATGCTGTGGTAGCAGCCTTGCTCTTGTTGTTGGCCTGGTGAAAATGGACTGCTGTGCATTTAGCTGTCCTTTCAGGTCCCTCCCCTTTTGGGAGCGTAGGGCAGAATTAGGAGGGAATTCCGTCTCGTAGCGTTTGTGCAGTTTTGAAATGCCGCTCCTAAATTACCCTTCTTCGATAAAGCCACGCTCGCATTGCAGATGAGACAGATGGACTTTGAATTGGAATAGATACAAAAATAATCATCCTCCCACTTGGAGTGAAAATTATATATTTTGGGCTTTTTTGCTTCTGCCATAATTGCGGTCTTGTGTGTGTGCGGACTGTCACTCCTATTGACACGGACAACGTCAGCTAACTATGCCCACTGCCCACCAGCCACGCACCGACACATGGGGTCATGCCAATCACAGAGCTTTGATGCGTTCAAGTGCATTATTCTGGCACAGGAAGATTATGTGAAAGGACATTAACGATAAAACAGAATATTGTTGTTCTATTTTTAGACACATCTCACGATCGACTGGGAATCGGTCGATCGCGATCGACTGGTTGGGCACCCCTGGCCTAGAGTACAACATAAACGCACACATAAACACAGAGCCCATATACAGTCTAGCATTATGCAGACCTCTTCTAATCTCCTAGTTATTATGGGTGAAACAGATTCTTTCTGAATTAATTTGCATATCACCGGCGCTAACTAAGAGGCAGATTTGAAGTACACTCGTGAACGGCTGAAGAAGTATTGAGATATTTTCAAGTAGTAGCAGCACTAACCAAATGACATGTCATTTCAGTCAAGCAGAAGAACATAACTATTAGCAGAAAAAATAGGCTACCTATAGTTCGATCCTCAATTTAACTATATCAAACCCAATGTTTGAGTATTTATGGCATGTATTCTGCTACAGACATCACATCTATATACACTCACTAGTTACCTGTCTGAACCCCATGGTAGTGTACATTGCAGTGTTGTTTTTGCTGAATTAACATGGCACAGACATGTATGAGCAAAAATGTGGAAGACAAGTACTGACATACATTAGAAATACTCTTAGCAGATGCCTATATGATGCGTAATTATTTATGGGTGGAACATCTTGTCCCAGGCACTCAAGAAAAAATGTACTTGTTTCAGAAGTACATTTATTTTGATCATGAAGTGTAAATGCAAGTTATTATTTTGCATCAATGTTCCTATTATTAGCACCTAGACCAGGTGTCACCAACCTTTTTTAGGATGAGGGTTACTTTAAAAAAAGAAAACAAGTCGGGGGCTACTTTTCCTCCTCTTTTTTAAAGTTCTTTGCAGTGTATATATTTAGCACATTTTCAAATTATTATATGCTTACCTTTAACCTTTGTGTGCTGTTTGGGTCTGTGGGACCCGTTTTCAGTGTTTACTAAAATAACATGTATTCAATTTAATTATTTTAACCTGCTTTATTTGGGGGTGGGGCTCACATCATCTAGGGGGCACCTCACATCCTCTAAGGGGGTCCTCACCTCCTCCAGGGGGACCTCACACTCTCTAGGGGGGTCCGGGGGCATGCACCCCCGGGAAGATGTTTTTTAAAATGTTGAAGTGAAATGCATCAATCTGGTGCACTTTGAGCACAAAATGAATTTATGGATACAGCTCTCATGAAAGGGAGCTGTATACTTTTCAATACTCCAATCATCTTTAGAATATTATCACAACCAATAACAAATCATTCAAACTTGTTTATTCTTATCTTATGTTAGCATTCTTTCTTTTTATTTATGCATATTTTAAGTGATACTACACATACAGTATATGATCACACACATATGTATAATTGAAATATTGATCTTCAAAGTAATTACAGCTTTCATAAATGTAGTGCATTAAAGAACAACATTTGTCATGTAGTTTTAGGAAATGGAACATAACAAATTATAATTCTGCTGAGTTTGACATTTGTTTCACTTTTAAATACTGCAGTCTGCCTTCTTGCCAGCTTCAGTCAGGTAAAGCCCCCTCTGGCCTAAATATCCTAGACAGTAGGAGTCATGTGGCCGGAGTTACCTTCTGTCATTGGCCCTTGGGTGTTCCCTGTTTGGGTGAGGAATGAGGTCAGTGTGACTCCCTGTCCCAGCATGCTGTGTCTCAGCTGTACTAAACTCTGGGGGTCAGCAGCTCAGGACTCACAAGCAGATCCCTCACATGCAAACAGCTTGTCCTGCGTGACTGAGTGAAGTTGTGACCCGGAAACAAACTTTGCTCAATGAGAGGTTACACATGATGTCGGTGACAGTCCTGCAACAGCTGAACTGGTCTTCCCCAAGCCCCCAGGATGGAAGCATGGAATCTCATTTTCATAGTGACAACCAATGGCACTGTAACTTCCCTGTCAGTATGTGACATCATGGACCCAAAAATACTTTCTCACATATATTTTGAGCTAAATCAACGACCAGTACGAACACGTGACGCGCTCTTTACTTCCCGCGAGGTTGGGCGCAAAGCATTTCTGTGAAAGCAGCCAGTTAAGTTTTGTTACTATGGTTACCTACATTGCTAGCTTGCTCACTTTGCAAAGCTGTCCTGTGATTGGTTGCACGTCAAAAGGTCAGCGGAAATCGAGGTCAAAGCAGAATCATTTTGAGCGCAGAGCTTAGCAATTTTGAGCTGCACACCATGGACGAAGTGTGCATGCTGGAAGGGCCCGGTCTTTCGGGTTACCGGTAAATCCAGGTATTTTTGTACTCAAAATTGACCATTTTGGCTTTGTGCGCAAATGATTCAGATTCAGATTCAACTTTATTGTCATTACATAGTACAGGCATGGGCGTAGGAAGCATCCTGAATGTGGGGGGGGGGCATTTTTAACGGTGGGTGTGGGGGTAAATAGTACATTTCCTGTATTCTGGTGCATTTTAACAGGTGGTTTGATACTTCTATGTGGCTATACTAGCATGAGGAAAATGATGGGTACATTTTGTAATTTCATCCAGTAGTAAAGAAAGGAAACCTATTTGATTATTAATTCAGAGCAGTCTTTGAATTAATAAAAAGCAGTTTAAATGCCCATTTTTTGCACATTTATATACAACAATAAATATTTGTGAGTGCATTGAGAGATATTGTTGAGTCATTTGTATATAAATCACAAAATACATTTGTGACTCCTTCTGTGAGCATTTATTCTTATTGAGACTGATCTGACTCCATACAGATGTTAAGTTCACCTAGGAATGGTATCATTGACTTAAATGTTGCTCTTCTGTCTATATTGGTCACATGATGCCCCTTGACTGAAATATGTCCTGTTCAATATCCCCACTGATTTCCTTAACATTCTGGGATGAGAGTCCACATCACTCTCTCCACTGTCCCTGTGTTCTGCCTCTGACTCACTCTCAAGTGCCTAGATGTCAAGAGAGGTGGTGAAGTGATCATTATTTATTGAGCAGTATACTCTTTCACATTGAATCATAACAAGTCATACTGAATGTAAATACAACTGACTCTAAAGTAAGTCCCAGTCTGTGACATTGGACATTTTGAAGACTCAAAGTCCCAAGCAGTAGGTAGAATATTAGCTAGTCTATGTAATGTGCACAGAAAATAAATAGTTAACTGAATACTGGGATGGAAATTGCCTATAAGCACTCAGTAAAACATAAACACACACAAAAAGCTTCTCAATGATAAGAAGTATAATTAAAACATAATGCACATTATCATTTTGAGAGAGAGTACCTAAATTAAAGAACTCCGAAAATAATCTCTTATCGAACTGAGGCTCCAGTAAAACACACTGACTGCGTCTACATGGGCATCAGTAAGCCATTTATGAGTATTATCCCGGTTATGATCATATTGGGGATATGGTGTTTACATGAGCACAGAGAGATCGGGTTATTCATGTTCCCTGTTTACATGATAAATACTAGTGACCTGGCATTTCGATGCCTTTTTTCATCTAAACTATTAAGTATTTGCATCTGTCTATCATGACATAAAGACGAAACTTCTCTCCAGAAGTGAGATGCCGCTGCCGCCATCA